GGGAGGAGCCGGAGGATCGAGGGGGGGGCTTCGATGGGAGAGAGGCTGGTTGATGGTTGATCGCCTACTTTGTTGGATCAATCGAAAGGAAGAACTAAAAGCCGTCGTCGTTCGTACCTGCCTCACGCCAAGGAAGGGGAAATGATTTTGTAACACACACGAAATTTAATAAAGAAGTAAGAGAAAAATAAAGAGACCTTTGGCAAAAAAAAAAAGGTACGAGTACATATACAGACGTTCTTCTTTAGAATTAATCCAAGTAACAGATACAGATAATACACTGTACAGAGTGCGAGGAAACAGGCTAATGTATTGTGCCCGTATCACAATCGACTGGGGTGTGCGGGGAATGGAGAGACCAGAGAGAAGCACAGACATTGCGACAGACAGAGAACATGGGAAACACGCGTCGAGTCTCGACAGTCTCACGGACCAACAGTACATATAGAGACAGACATGCACAAGTGTAACTGTGTAAGCATAAAGTAATACAACAAAGAGGGTGCGGCAAGTTCGAACATGGGCTGGCTGTCTACGGATATGGGTCATGGGGGAGGGGGCGACTCGGGAGAGCCTGTCTGCATCCCCGACTCTTGAATGGCCCCAGTTTCACCAATGGATCCTCCATCGGCATCTTATCGACAGGGGTCGTGTTGTCTTGGATGTCTCTGGGCGCTTAGCTGCAGCCGAGGATCAGCGTTATTGGACCTTGACCTTGGTTGGACCTTGGACCGTAAATACAGATATTCCTGATATCTCTGCAGCTTCACACGGTACCAGCATTAGTAGTAGGGTATAGTAATATACTAAAGTAATAGTGGTGATGGTAGTAGTAGTAGTAAGAAGTAGAAGTAGTAGTAGTATGTATATCACCATGATAGATGTGTACACTCTTGTATCGCATTGACAATATTCAAGAGACGCTCCAAAGGCTTCAAACACTGAGAACGATTCAGCGGAGAATACAGTTCAGATGTAAACGAATGACGACTGTGTTATACCCCATTATATCAAAGAAAATAAATGTAAAAAAAAATAAAAATTGTAAAAGAAATCCTCATAAGAAAACGCCCAGATAAAGAGGGAGCAAGATGCTCATTGCATCGCACATCAGTGCATCACATGACCGTACAGCTAGACGTATAACTGTCCTGGCACTGCTCAAGATAAGTGGCATCATCAGTCGAACCAGCAGGAACGTTATGCTTCCTGGCTAGACCCGTAATCTCGAGACTCTGCTCTCCCTGGGGATGCCACCACCTCAGCTTCTGCAGAACGATACCCTCGCCCTCTCCCTCATCAGAGGCAATCTCCCATCGTCCCTCGGACACGTTGACCTCGCTGATGTCCTTGGGGAAGTGGAACTCCGGGAGGAAGATTGTGGTGGGGGCATCGTCGCCAGCTGGCTTAGGCGCGTCCACCTTGAGTGTGTACACGCAGTTGCGCAGGTCGAATCCGTTGGCTAGGATATCGCCCGCCACAAACGTCGCTGTGGGACGGACAAATGCCTCGGCCGCGCGGTATCCGGGCGCATTGGTGAGCTCCGGGTCCTTGCCAGAGGGCGTGGAATCGATGGATGGACTTGCCAGGGCGCGCCGCAGGTTGGCCGGGTTGACCCTCTCTTCCTCGCTGGCGTTGTCGGCATGCGCAGGCCCATCCTTGGCTGTTGTCGGCGACGACGGCAACGACGTATCGCGAGGGACAGCCGAGAGCGGAGGGATGGTGTCGTCCAGCGAGTATATGGACAGGTCCTCTCCGTTCCACTGATCCCCCCACTGGTGGTCATTGTTGGTCGTGTACAGCCAGAGACAGTGACCTTCTAGCAGCGATCCCTCGACGGCAAAGTAGTTTGCGTCGAGGGCCGCCGACTGGCTCGAGTAGTCACCCGTCTTGTAGGCGGCCTTGTCGTCCATGTCGTAGGGGATGCCAAACTCGGAAAGGATGCACGGGTGGTTGCCCGTCTGCTCTTTGCCCTCGTCGCTGAGGTACCTGAGCTGGTCACGCAGGCAGTTTCGGATGGCCGTTTCGCCGACCTTGATGGCAAAGGCAGGGTGCCAGTACTTTCCGCGCAGGACACCCACGACGTCGACGTTCCACGTGCTGTTCCAGTGCTTGGTCATGAGCGTGATGCCGTCGTAGTAGTGGGGAGTGAAGACGAGCTTGGGGTCGTCGTCGGCTGTGCCCTTGATCTTGGGAGGCACCTCGAGCGTGGGGAATTGCATCAGCATTATGCAGTCATCGTGGATGCTGCGGCACGCCTTCTTGTACCGCCGCCAAAAGTCCATAAAGTACGTGTTGGTAAACTCGGGGTAGTCAATCGTCTTGCCCGTGCGCGGGTTCTTTGCAAAGTAGTTCTTGTCCAGCAGCGTGTCCGTCGACGGATCCCACACGCCGTGCTGCGCCCACACGCACTCGCCCAGCTTCCATCCTGGGTCGCGCTTCCACCCGTAGTGGGAGTCGTCGTAGCCCTCAGAAAGCCACGCGGTCTCGCCGTGCGGGTCGACGAGTTTGGTACCGGACTTGGTAGGCCCGAGGCCTCCCATGTCGTAAACGTCAATCTCGCACGCCCTGCCACTCCCCGTTAGAATAGCTTGCCAGATGGTCGGGCTGGTACCCTTCTTGAGGTGCTGCTCGCTGGGGACGATGCTCAGGTCCGCATAGCCCGTCAGCCCGCGGTTGGGCTCATTCATGCTCTCCCAGCCAATGACCACATCGTTCTCCAGATCTCCGGCCTCGTGCATCCGCCGGGCCAGGTGAGCGCAGGCGTCGACAAAGTGGCTCTGCAGGTAGTCCTGGATGTTGACGCCGTCAATGATGCACTTGGGGGCAAAGTCCTTGCCCGCGAAGAAGAAGGTGAAGATGGTGGCTACTGCCAGCCGCCAGTAGTTGGTCGACCAGATCATCTTGGGGAACTCTGCAGGCTCCGGGTACGTGTTGTGGACAATGGCAGCCTCGGTGGCAGCAAAGCTCCTGGGGTCCAGCCCGCAGGCGTAGATGGTCCACAGAGGAGCCCCGGACCCGCCGGTGAACCTTGACCACACGTCCTGGTGCGGGTCCATGAAAATAAAGAAGCCGTAGCCTTTGGCGATGCGTAGTATCTCGATCGTGTGCTGGATAAACTTCTCGTCGTATTTCCCCGGCCCGGCCGCTTCGATGGCCTCCCAGGTGAAGATGTAGCGGATCGTGTTGAAGCCGAACCGCTTGATCCGTGCAAAGTGGATGTGGGCATCATCCTTGGAAAACGGTCGTTCGTGGAATGTGACGCCGTCACCGTCAAAGAAGTTGGCGCCCGACTGCGATGGCTGATGGGGTTCGCTGGGCAGCTTGGAGTCGCCGGCTATGTTGATGCCGCGGAGCACTACCTGGCGACCGTGAACATCGCGGAACTGGCCATCTTCAATCGACAGACGAAAAGAAGCCATGATGGAATATCGACGACTACCAGCACGGTGAGTTTTATGGGGGTGACGACTTTGATGATGACAAGGAGGTGGAAGGCATGGAGGAGTCGGAGAGTCGGGGTTCCGAGGCTGTCTACAGATGACGTCGCCTGGGCGCGCTGTACGTAGTATCAACTATTAGTTGATAGTGGGTAACCGTAGCTGATATTTAAATACTACCTGGGCAACTGCCCAACTGCATGATTACCACCCAATTGACGATACTACATTGCATGTATTATCCTGATTATATTCAAGATGTGAAATGGTGGTACTTTGACAAACAACAGTTTTTCCTCAACTTGTAAGATTGTCAAAGAATAATGCCATACAGGCTGGCTTATTGTCCTCCCCTAAATTGGACTAATGTGGCACACCTGCACGTAAGCGTGAGCTGAAGCGCGGCAATTGGTGAGCGGTGCCCGTACAGGCACCATCATGAATCACGATATAGTAATTAGAACTTCTAATATAAGCGGACTGAATAAAGCACAAGGAAAATGATAAGCTGCCACTAGTATCAGGTAACAGTACGGAGAAGTAAGATGGGTGCCAAGTAGCGAAGATAAATAACAAGTCGTAACCTACCCCCACAATCCGGGGAAGCCATCTTGTCATTCCCTTGGGCTCTCAGCATCATCACACGAAACGCATCCAAAAAGACATCATGACAGACTCAACAACCACCCGCAAGCGTCATGCCTTTACCGGTTCGTGCCACTGTGGAGATATCTGGTACATCGCTCACCTCAACTTCCCACACGACCCGCCTCCTTATCCACGGGCTGGCGAGGCTCTGTACCGCTGCAATTGTACAATCTGCCACAAGGCCGGACTCTTCCACGTCCGCCTCGACTCAGCTCCGGATGACTTTCTCCTCCTCTCGCCTCTCGACCCATTCAAAAACCTGGGCGATTATCAGTGCGGCCAGAAGATTCTGCACTTCTTCTTCTGCCGCACCTGCGGAGTTCGCTGCTTCACCTTTCTCGGCGAGGGTGAGAACGTCGACGTAAACTTAGACGCGGTTCTGGGAAAGAAGGGCGAGCAAGGGGAAACTGGGACTACTACTGTCAAGGCCTGGAGGCCTAAAAAGGACGGCTGGAAGGATGATCGAGTCAAGAACGGCGGGTATCTGAGCGTCAATGCCAATACACTTGACCAGATGCAGGACGGACTCGATATACGTGAATGGTGTGAGAAAGGCTGGATGTATTATATCGAGCAGTTGAATCCCGACGAGAATGGGGCCGAGCAGATGTCGTACGATCGGCCATTTCCTGGTGGTATGTACTAGGCATGGCAAAGTCGTCGGCAGGGCCTGGAGAGCTATTCAGCATGCCGAGGTACCTTGCTCCGACCTATCCCAGTTATCCATGCGTCTTTCTGGTCTTGAACGTGGCATCACGAGGTGGACACCTAGGGAGTCGACCCGTACGTTTGCTGGCAGACTCTCGTTGGTGTCAAATTTAACACCAAGAATCATCAGTATTGCCAATGAATGAAGAGCCATATAAGATTGATACAAAATGGAGATGATGTACATCCTGAAGCCATCACCATGCATCTTTGTATTGAAAAAAGGCATGGAAGGATGGAAAATCTGTGACGCATATGAGGATGCAACAGCGATGATTGTGCTCTGCCACATGACGGGAAAGACGCTACAGAGTCAATTGGCAAGAGCTGGTGCTGAGCAAAACAAGGAAGGCGCAAACCGGGGGAAATCTCCGGGTAATCGATTCCCCAAAAATGAGGGCTAATAGTGGGAATAGTGGGCTAACTCAGTGCTCACATCACTTCTAACATTCGGCATATACAACACTCCAGCTGTGTGACACAATACCTCATCTTGTGATATTCACACTGTTTCTATTTGTTTGCCTCACTTCTCATGTGAAAATATTGTTTTTTGCCTCAACTCCTGGACATGTAACCGTCTCTCGTCTATCGACAATTCGACGACAAATACCAGACCGTCGTCACTTTCTCTGCGGGACCCATTCATCGCTCTCCCTCCATACCTTACTTGTTCATGTGGCGGGCATCTGGACATCTCTAGGCGTCCACCGTGACAGCAGCAGCAAACATGTCGAGCTCCAAGGGTGCCCTCAAAGCCATCAATGATGCCATAGGCAAGCAGAAATTTGATGAAGCCATCAAGCAGGCCAAAGCACTTCTCGAAAAGGACTCCAAGAACTACCAAGCGTGCGTACTGTACCACCTATTTTGACCCCGCGTTGAACTTGTCGATTGACTCACCACTCTCCCTCTATAGACACATATTCCTCGCCTTTGCTCATGACAAAAAGGGCCAGGCTGATGAAGCTGAAGCCGCATATCGCTCTGCGGCAGCACTGAAGCCTCAGGATCGGCAGGCATGGCAAGGGCTCGTTAAGCTCTGCGAGAAGCAAGGCACGAAGAAACTGGCCGTGTACCAAGAAGCAGTAGTGAATCTCGCCCACATATTCCACAGCGCAGACGACCTGTACAAATCCCAGGATGTCGTCATCAAATTTATTGACCACGTCCGGGTGCACGGTGACAAGATGCAGTATGCCGATGCGCTTTGGATTCAGCTGCCCGATAGTCCCGTGTATTCCATTCTTGAGGGTCGTTTTCCACCCCCCGGCGAAATCTACGAACGCATTGCTGGTATCCTTGAGGATTATGAGAAGAAGCGCGTGAACATCCTCATTGGAGAGCGCCGGACAAGGCTTGGCGCAAAGATCGGCGAGGTGACTCTTGAGGTCAAGCGAGAAGTTTATTCCCAGAGCAAGTTGGAGCATATATATCGTCAACTCATCAACTGGACAACCAATGACGAGGTTCGACGCAGTTACGAGGAGAAGCTCCTCGTGTACTGCTACGAGAGACTTTTGGTCACGCCTGCTGGTCCGATCAAGGATAAAGAGCGCGAGAAGGTCATCAGACTGGCAAACGACATGGTTGTCATCAAGCACCCATTCAAGCTCGCTTGGGACATTGCCGTTGAGTGGCAGGACAACGCTGATATCGGTGCTTGGAACATTGATGTCTTGAAAGGATACTGTACACACTTCCCGGACAGCGACCTCTACAAGATCCTCACTGCATTTCTCACCAGCACCATATCGCCCTTTGCCGAGGCCAAGAAAGGAGACAACAAAGATCGGAGGGCATCGCTGACCAAAAGTCCGGATGAGAGCTCAGATGACGATGATGGGGGAGTGCCTACTTACGCCGTTCCCCTAACGGACGAGGAGCGCCTAATTATGCTTACCGAGGGCCTCACTACATTGGAATCGACACTTGGATACAGGATAGCTGGCCTGCTCTTCCTCCACGCGGGCGAATACGAAAGCACCGTCGAGTTTATGCGCAAAGCACGGGCTTTCTTGGCCAGGGAGAAATCAAAGACTGGTTTGAAATTCCGAAACACCGACGACTCATATCTCATCAGCCTCGGCACAGCTCTCGTGTACTACCAGTCTCCTAGGCATCATTCGGAAGCCAAGTCGCTCTTTGACAAGGTCCTAGACCACGATGAGACATCTACCCAGGCCCTGATAGGGGTTGGTCTAATCTACGAAGAGGAAGAGGAATACGACAAGGCCATTGACTTTCTCAGCCGGGCTCTGGAGCGCGACGCTGGAAACATCCAAGTACGGTCTGAGGCTGCTTGGGTCAAAGCGCTCAAGGGTGACTGGCAGACGGCCAAGAACGAGCTTCATAACTGTCTGTCACTCATCGATAAGAAGGACCCCCCCAAGAACCTCCTAGCCGACACACAGTATCGCCTGGGATGCTGTCTCTGGAATATTGACTCTAGCCGCTCAGCGAGAAAGCAGCGCAAAGGAGAGGCTGCCTACCCATATTGGCTCAGTGCGCTGAACAATAACCTCAACCATGCCCCGACATATACCAGTCTCGGCATATATTACGCCGATTATGCCAAGGACAAGAAGAGGGCGCGCCGCTGCTTCCAAAAGGCTCTTGAGCTGTCCTCCTCCGAGGTTGTGTCGGCAGAGAGGCTGGCGCGATCCTTTGCCGATGACGGTGATTGGGATCGCGTGGAGCTAGTCGCCCAGCGCATTGTCGACTCTGGAAAGGTAAAGCCGCCGCCCGGGTCTAAGAGGAAGGGCATCAGCTGGCCCTTTGCTGCTCTCGGTGTGGCCGAGCTGAACAAACAAGAGTTCCACAAGGCCATCGTCTCGTTCCAGGCGGCGCTACGCATTTCCCCCGGAGATTACCATTCGTGGGTCGGCCTAGGCGAGAGCTACCACAGCTCGGGGCGCTATGTTGCTGCTACCAAGACGGTGCTCAATGCGCAGAAACTGGAAGAGGAGCTGGGGCTCGATATATCTGGTGACACGTGGTTCACCAAGTATATGCTTGCCAACATCAAGCGTGAGCTTGGTGAGTATGACGAGGCTATTGACCTCTACAAAATTGTCATGGAAACACAACCAGGAGAGGACGGTGTTATCCTCGCTCTCTTGCAGACGGTAGCTGAGAATGCTCTTGCTTCTGTTGAGAAGGGTCTCTTTGGCAAAGCGGCTCAGCTGGCTGCCGAAGCAATCAAGTTCGCTACATCCACGGCTGAGGGTGCCGTGGTCGGGTCTTTCAACTTTTGGAAGACGATCGGTGATTCGCTGTCCATATTCTCCATGGTTCAGAGCCGTATTGGGGAGCTTCCAGTCGACCATGTTCAGACTCTGCTGGACCTCATATCTGACGAGGCCGTCAATATTCTCGGGACTGAAGACAAGGTAACAAAAGAGCCCAATTCTGTGCACGGGTTTGATTTTGGCGGTGAGACAGAAGGCGGTATGTCGCGCTGTATACATGCCATGATACTCTCTTTCAAGCAAGCCATCCAGGTTTCAGTTCAGGATCGGTACGCCCAGGCTGTGGGCTACTACAACTTGGGCTGGGCGGAGCAAGGTGCGCACAGGTGTCTGCCTCTTGAGCTGAGGAGGAAGACTAGCAACCACTCCAAGGCGGCCATCCGCGCTTTCAAGCGTGCTATTGAGCTGGAGGCAGGCAACTTTGAGTTCTGGAATGCCCTGGGCGTGGCCACGAGTGATGTGAACCCATCAGTCTCCCAGCATGCCTTTGTGCGGAGCATCCACCTCAATGAGAGAAGCCCTGTCGGATGGACGAATCTGGCCATTCTCGCCCTCATGTCGGGAGATTTCGAGTTAGCCAACGAGTCCTTTACTAAGGCACAGTCGGCAGACCCCGACTATTCCCACGCATGGGTCGGACAGGGTCTGGTAGCCCTGATGTATGGGGACACCAAGGAGGCTCGGACGCTGTTCACACACGCCATGGGGATTTCAGAATCCTTCTCTCTGCCTACGCGACAACACTACTCGACATCCATGTTCGACTACATTGTCAGCTCACCCGAAAACACAGGGATTGCGTCTCTCATTCAGCCTCTATTTGCCCTCAACCAAGTGCGTAGTCTTCGACCGCAGGAGCTCGCACTTGGTCACCTTGCCACCATATTCCAGGAGCGCACACACGACAGCACCCGGGGAGTGGAAATCCTAGAGAGTATCTGTTCGACACTCGAGACCCAGTATGAGAAGACGGAATCCCCCGTGGATCTTGGACGATTCACACTGGCCAAAACAGACCTGGCGAGAGTGTACCTAGCGGCCGGGTCATACGACTTGGCAATAGAGTGCGGCGAGACGGCCCTTGGGCTCAGCAGCGACGAGACAGACAGCGAGCTCTCTAGTGAGCAGCGCAAGAAGGCGAGGTTGTCAGCGCACCTGACCGTCGGACTGGCACAGTACCATTCCAACGAATATGACGAGGCGCTCAAGTGCTTTGAGGAGGCCCTTGAGGAGTCGGATAACAACCCCGATGCAACATGCCTGCTTGCCCAAGTCCTCTGGGCCCAAGGCATGGAGGAAGCTAGGGACCGTGCGCGATCGGCGCTGTTCGAGGTGATTGAGCAGCAGCCTGGCCACGTGCAGAGCGTCCTGCTTCTTGGTGTGGTTGCCCTTCTCGACAACGACGAGGACAGTCTCGAGGCCGTGGTGGAGGAACTCCAGGGTCTGCGTACAAACGACAAGGTGACGCCTAGCAAGCAGTCGCACATCGGAACAGTGCTGGGGGCCATCGCTTCGCTAGGCCCGCAAAAGACGGAAGATGACAAGTTGAACCAGATGCAGAACGACGTGATGCTGTACCCCAGCCTGCCGCACGGGTGGTCGTCGCTAGCGGAGGTGACGGGCGATGAGTACGCCGCTCAGATGGCCCTTCGCGTAGCTGTCAGGGGGGTGCCTCCCAGGGGAGAACTGGAGGCGCAGCATCTGTCCAAGGCGTATGCCGGAACCGGGACGGCCGGTGATGCGCAAAGGGCTATTTTTGTGGCGCCGTGGGAGCAAGGGGGTTGGGAGTCGTTGTCTAGAGCCACAGTGGGAATTTGAGGACGATGATGATATGCATGATGAGGGTTGCTTACAAACGTTTGTCTACACATATGGCGTCATGGACAATGGGGAGATTCATGGATAGATGTTTGATAAATTATAAAAGATAGACCAAGGTGGAGATCAAGATAAGAGAAACAAATAAGTAAAATGATATAACATCAGATCTCAGGGTATCATACCAAACTCCAATCAATATTCCAGCTTCGGACACGCTCGCCACCCCCCCCCAAAAAAAAAAAAAAGTTAGTTATATATTAGCTCCCACTGAATCCTTGAGCCTTGCCAGTCTCCCTTCAGCCCAAGACCGATTCCAAGCATCAATCTTGCCTCCCAGAAAGACGCAGCAGTCGGGGGTGAGCAGCACTGTGCCTCTAGCGATGAGGGTTCCAGCCTTGAGGAGGATCTTCTCCCCAATAACCGTGGTATTTAGACCGACCGGCAGACGCCACACCTCGAGGGCATATATGCGAGTACCACTACAATCCTGCAGTGTAAGTCTATGCATAGCATTCTTTCCTGCTCCTCCTCCTCCCCCGGCAGCCCGCTGCTGTGTCTGATCACCACCACCTGCTGGCTCACCATCGTCATTATCCTCGACGCGGATGACCTGTCTTCCCTGGGTGCGCTCGCCCCTCTCGATCGACTCGAGCTCCTCGGCCTGATCCCAGCGACTCAGGCTAAGGTTCTCCACGTCGACGACCTGGACGTGCACGCTCGTAGCCAGACACATCTCCCTGGTGGACGGATCGCATGCGGAAGACGGCAGGGCCGTCATGGACAACGAGTCGACCAGGGAGCTAGATGACAGGTCGCATGCTAGCAGCCGGGCACGGGCGGTGGCGACCAGGGAAGGGAGTGGCGGCGGCGGGTTGCGTGCAGTTGTGAGTGAGGTTAGGAGGGATGATGATGGTGGTGGGAGGGATTGGGAGAGGATGAAGGACCTTAGTTGGTCGGTGAGGTCCATGGTGGATAGATTCTCGTACGAGTGATGGATGATAAGAGGTAGGCAGTATTAGGAGAGAGAGAGAGAGAGAGATGAGATTTGTAAAGAAAGAATACCAAGTTGTATAAAAATGGGCTTGGAAGAAAAGGGAAGGAAGGAAAGTGCCGATAGCTCCTTCCCGCACGGACCAACTATAAACTGACGTCTGTCCATTTATCTCCATCTATCATCATTTCTCCTTCTGTACACCCGCACGCAACTCAAACCACATACACACACGCTCACACACGGCCATGTCCACCATCGCCTCACCTAGGGACTCGTCGCTCCGACGGACGCCCAACTCCTCGGCCCGTCCCTCCATGGACACGGTACGATCGTACGTCGCATCCCCCGTCAACGCCCAGAACCCGACAGCGCCCCCGACCGGTGACGGCAGCACCACCGCTAGCACGAATAAGCGGACCAACCGTGCCGCCCTACGCGAGTACTACAACCTCCGGGCATCGGCCCAGCTGCCACGCATTGAGGTGCCCGACTCCGAGGTCCCCATAAGCGACATGGATGCCACCGAGTTTGATGCGGACGAGTACGTGTCGCGGGTCGTGACGGAGAGCAGCCTGGCCGAGCTGCTGAAGCTGTACACGCGTGTGCTGGGCGAGGTGCGTGCCCTCGATGCGGAGAAGAAGGCCCTCGTGTACGACAACTATAGCAAGCTCATTGCTGCCACTGAGACCATTCGCAAGGTATGTCACTGACGCTCTCTCCTCCACCTCCCCCTTGAGGGTCATCCCTGTCTGACACTACTCCGGGAAGATGCGCGCCAACATGGACCCCCTCAACCCAATGGCCTCGACCCTCGACCCCGCCATCGCCCAGATCTACAGCCAGGCCTCGACGATACGCGACACGCTCCGCCAGACCATCCCCCCGCCAGACTCGGACGAGGGCAAGAAACTAGAGGCTGAGAGGCGCAGGCAGAGGACCAGGGAGCTGGCCGTCGAGATGCTAGGTATGCCTGGCAGGTTACGCACGCTGATGAAAGAGGGCAGGATTGACGAGGCTCGCAATCTGTGGGTCATGCCCCGACGGCTGCTCGTTTCGTGGAAGAATAAGGGCTTTGGGGGCGACGAGGTCCAGACTTGCCTGGAGGAGGGTGACGCAGCGTTCAGGCAGGCTAAGACGAACTGAAGCCTCTGGGGAAAAAATATCTGTTCCACAGGCTTCATTGGCAGACTGCATCTTCACATCTTCACATCTTGGTTCATCATAGCGAGGCGTTCTATCAGGTTGACAGTATTTGGGATATACATGTCTCTCTCTCTCTCTCTCTGTGTGTGCGTGTGTGCGTGTGTGTGTGTGTAAAAATAAAACATGGCATGGTGTACTTTTGTTTAAAATACTTCCTTTTTCTACTTCTTACACCTACAACTCTTTCATATCGATAATAGTGAAGGGATCCTTGTCATACTCGGAAAATACGACATCAGCCCGGGGCTCTGCGGTCTGCAGCTCCTGCAGCAGCTTGGGTCCGAGCACCTCGCGCATGTAGGCCCTCTCGGAGTTACTGTGAAAGACGGTGACGAGTGTCTGGCCATTCTGTATGGCCCTCAGGGCAGAATGATGGCTCGTCTCTCCGGTGACGATGAGATCGACGTCGGCCTTCTTGAGGACGTCGTAGCCGCTGCCGGCACAGACGCCGAAGCTCCTGACGCGCGTCGTCCTCACGTTGGCGCCGACGGGCGCGGCGACCATGACGTGGCGCATGCCGCCCAGCCGCTCGGCCAGGCGGTGCAGTATGTCGACCAGGGCGACACCCTCCCCGTCGACCGGCTCCTCAAAGCGGCCGATGGCGCCGTACCCGGCGGGGGAGTGCGATTCGGGGGCCGTGGCGCAGGGAACGGCGACGGAGCGCGTTGACGTGTGCGGGCCGGACACGATGTCGGCCAGCCACGTGTTCAGGCCTGCGGGGGCGGCGTCGACGGCCGTGTGCGGGCAGTAAACTGCGATTCCGGCGCGGGCGAGGTGGATGAGCGTCGTCTGCTGCGGGTCGTTGTGCGTGATGGACTTGAGCCCGGAGAAGATGAAGGGGTCTGTCCTCACTTGTCAGGAGAGTGGAGTGGTACGTATATAGATGGAGATAGAGGCACAGTAGCGTACGGTAGCTGACAATCACGCTGACTCCTTGGCCGATGGCATCCACGGCCACCTGAAAGGTCAAGTCGTTGGTCACCAGGACTTTGGGCTTGGTGTCCGAGGCTTGGGTGTTGCCGAGGAGCAGACCGACATTGTCCCAGGATCGGTCGGCGAGTTGCTCGGGATATCTGCTCGTGTCAGGAAAGAGAATCTATCGATCCGGGGAGAAAGGAGAAGCGTAAAGGAAAAGAGGGAGAAGAGGAGATACGGCTTGGGCTCACAGCTTCTGCATGGCATTCACGACAGTCTTGGTGAATGGCGAGGGCTCGGCCTGCCACGCGCCCCAAGCTCCGATGCCGTCCATGCTGTGTCTTGTCGTGGTAGTAGAGCTAGTGGAAAAGGCAGAGTGCAGTCGTGGTGGTGTCAACGGCGTATGCCTCGTGATTCTCGTTATTGTCGTCACCCTTCTCAGCAGTCGGGTCATTGCCCCAAGGTTAAATGCTTCCGTCTTCTTTTTCTTTTGCGGGAAAGCAAGTGAGAGTTGACAATTGTCAAGCAAATCTCAAACGATGAGCTCATACCGTGGAGAGAAAAGCTATTCGCACACTGTCCTCTTATCTTATCTCTATCGCAATCTCGTCCCTCCTCCCACTTCTCCGACATCGCCAACAACCTTTTCTCTCTCTCTCTCTCTCTCTCTCTCTCTCGTCTCATCATCCTTTTATTCTTCTACGAATAATACAAATACACGTCCAACAAATGGCCGGTATGACAGACGCAAGTCTCCGTGAGACTATAATCCAGCGTCTTGAGGCGTCGCACGTCGAAGTCACCGACATGTCTGGTATGTATTTAGCCCCACCACGATTCTGCTTTATACTACTTCTTTCCTACCCCTCCCCCTCCTCCGTGGAATAGAGTAGACTGGAAGAGAAAAATATTGATTCTCTCGAACAAAAAAAGGCGGCTGCGGTCAAGCGTTCACGACACTCATCGTTTCCCCCCGATTCCAGGGTCTCACGTCCCTCAAGCGACACCGTCTAGTCAACGCCGCCCTCAAGGAGGAGATTGCCAGCATCCACGCCTGGACCGCAAAATGCAAGACCCCCCAGGAGTATGAGCGCGACGTGATTGCTTCTACCGATCAGACAATGGGTGGTACGGCCTAATAAGGAGTGAGGAGGAGGGGGACCGTCCGGGCCTGAATCATGACGCGCATCATGATTTGACCCAAGGGGAAAGGGAGAATATAAAAGAGGAGGAAAAGAAATGCGAGAAGGAACGGAACCAGAAGAAAAGGCACCGGCCATTTGCAACGGGATACAATTATACCACGAGAGTAACGAGAAGGAATAGGGTGATCCGGAATCCGACGAATATCCTGGATATGATTGCATGACGACGGACAACTCCTGGAGAAGGCTCCTAGAGAGTAGAAGCAACAGAAGAGAGAACATGGTTTCGGCACACTTGTATATACCGAATACGAAATATTTTATCCCCACTTGCCCTTGTGAATATCTCGGTATGCTTCAAGTATTTGATTACCTTTGTCCTTTGCCGTGATGCCACTTCTACATAAAACTCCGTAAACATCTCTCTCCTCCCTCGCTCCCCTAGAACAGCCCCAAGAGGTCATCGCTATCCTTCTTCGGTGCACCCTGCTGCTGCTGTTGCGGCGGCGGCGGCTGTCCGAATCCGCTGCCACCCGCCGCTGCCGCCGCTGCCGCGTTCTGGAGCTGTGTCGCCGCCGGCAGAGGTTCGCTCTGCTGGCCTCCAAAGTTGAGTCCGTCAAGTCCTCTCATCAGGTCGTTCATGCCACCGCTCTGCTGCTGGGGCGTGGGCGTTCCCGATGCCAAAGACGGCTGCATGGGCGGCGCGTCAAACATGCTCATCATGTCCGCCATGCCACCACCGACGCCTCCCATGGCAGGGCTGGTCGCCCGACTAGGGTTGGCGCTGTTCTGCTCCTGCGATGCCGGCGCCGCTCCGTCGAAGTCGATGTCGAGGAGGTTCTCGGCATTGTTCTGATGTTGCTGCTGCCCGCCGTTGGCTGCCGCTGCTGCTGCCGCCACTGACACAGCGATAGGATTCTCGGCGGCATTCTGCCTCTGCTCCTGGATAGCCGCGCGTTGGATCTCGTCGGCTCCGAACCGGCCCTTGCCGACGAACGACTCCGGAGGCTTGTGGTACACCGACGCCAGTGTCGACAGCTCAGCCAAGAGCTGCTCCAGCAGTGCCGTGGGAAGACTCGTCATGGTGGTCGAGATGGTCGGCTTCTGGGACAGGACAATCGTCTGTAGAGCATAAATGTCAGCTTCCTAGAGTCTAAACCAGCATACAGCATGCGCACCATATGCCTTCGAAGTATCTGATATCTTACCCTGGCAACCTCGAGGTCTCCCGACAGCAGTCGCCAGTAGACATAGGCCCTGTCTCGGATATCGGGGTTGTCGTTCTCGGCCGTGGCCGACTGTAGCACCTTCTGGACTAGTCCTTGGGTGTTGCCAGGCTTCTTGAGGAAGAGCTTGACGACGGCCGTCAGGATCTGGAGCTGGGTCTATAAGAGAAACTTAATAGTACCGTAGTCATACGAGAGTGCATACTCCTAGGGAGTAAACAGGGGCAAGGGAAAATATACCTGTCCAAACTCCTCCATAAATCCGTCGACAAACGTCTCAAGAATCTCCGTAGCATTGCCAATCTTCTCGGCATACTCTCCAACGATCCAGATGAGAGCCCCACGAGCATCAGGCTCATCCAGGTCATCAATGTGGTCGCATAGAGTGGGAATAACACCCTCGAACCCAGGGTACTTTCGCAGAATGTCCTTGATGACTACAACAACCTCCTGGACGACGTAGTTGACCTTGGTGGCCATGAGCTCCTCGAGGGAACGGACACACTTTTCGCTGGCAGCCTCAATCTTGATGGCCACCTGGCCAATGGCCTTGACGGCCCTCCTGACAAAGTCCATGTCCACCTCGAGGGCGTATTCGGTCAACTCTGCAAGGAGCTGCTCATAGTTCTTCTCGTTTGCTATTCGCACCATGATCTCCAGCTTCTGCATCTTGACGTAGGGGGGATCGTTGTACTTGCAGAAGAAGACGCGCATCTCCTTGCTGAGTATGTCGGGCTTTGCCTGGAGGAGCAGGTCAATGTTGCGCAGGGCAACGTACTGGACCTCGGGTGCGGAGGCGACAAGGGTTACTTCAAAAGCGTTAGATGTACGTTTAACCATGGGGTTTCAACAACAAAGTCCGGCAAGAAGCTGAAGGAGAAGAGGCGAAAGAGATAGGAGCTCACCTAGAGGAGGAGCCATCTTCTTAAGATAGGACCGCACAAGCTCCGGATTAATGGACCTCATGTGGGTAAAGACGACCTTGACGGCAGCCAGGACGACGCTGGGGTTGACGTGCTGGAACTGGGGGGCGACACGCTCACAAATGTGCTCGGCCTCCTTGACGTCGTTGGCTGAGTAGTCGGCCAGGGTGGATAGGATGGTGACGCGTCCCCACTCGGTGCACTCGTTGAGGGCCATGAGGAGCTTCTTGAGGGTGGCGGGCGTGACGATGAGGGCCCTCGTCTCGGGCGCCGTCTCGGTGATCTCGGACAGGGCCTGGACCGAGTTGGCCACGACCATGGGGTTGGGGTCGCCGATGAGCTCCTGCAGCGACTCGAGGAAACCGTTCTCGATGCACATAGTCGGGTTGAGGTCGAAGAGCTTGGCCACGCATATGGCGGCCGTCTTGCGCACGTACGGTGATTCGTCACGGAGCGTCTTTCGCAGCGGCTCCTCCATGTAGTCCACCATCTTATCCACCCTGATGCATCCCATTGTTCGGATCGCCAGTGCTCGTACGAGGGGGTTCGGATCTTCCGAGTCTTGCGCAAAGGTGTTGACGGCGAGGATACAAAGGTCGGGATGCGACTTGGCGTAGTTCCTTTTGTTGGTTGTCAGCTTGTCATCATGCTCTCTCATTTCTTCTTCCTTTCATTTGAGAGGGATGGAAGGAGGTGTTTATTGTAGCGAAAAGCACCTACATGAGATATAGGTAGACCAGCTTCTTCTGGTCGAGATCGGACGTTGCAATATTTTTGAGCACATCGGGAAACAAGGCCGACACGTCCTTGCCCAGAGTCATGGCCATGATGGTCTTCTGGATGGACTCCTTTCTCTCGTAGGCATACTGAGAGACAAGGCCGGCCCTCAGCTCAAAAGTCTCACCCTTTCGAGGCACCTGGAAGGCGCCCCGGATGCGATTGACCGCCATCCTGATATGTGGTGATGATGTTGGTGGAGGGGCAGCAACCGGGGGTGTGGTGTGGTATGCTCTTTCAACGGTTCCCGTCGGAGAGGGGGGGCAGGTCAGTCAGTCCCTATCCGACCAACAAGACTACGAAGGCCCAGTCTGTATCGTGAATATTTCCCGTGTCGGGTCGTTGTGCGGTTGTGGGTGAATCGTCGTTACTGCGAGTGTTTCCAGGAGAGAAGTAACGACGTGCCGGACGCCAAGAAGCTCCGTTAGCGATTACGGTGGCCCTTTGCTCCTTACCTGCGCTGTTGTCGGCTCCTTCACATTCCCTCTGAATCTACTAACAATTTCGCCTCCTGGCTGACTAAGGCTCTTTACTTAAGAACACCAACAACACCAACATCTTGCATCATCAACATCATCAGCTTCACATCATTTCGAGGAGAAATGACAGTAGATATTTATCCTTGAGTATCTGGTGAGTTTTCTTCGGCTAGATTTCTAAATGGTATGTCTCCATCTACCTATTATGAGGTCAATATTTGAAATTAACCCATTAGGCCAACTTTCCCAATCTGCGCCGCCTCTTTATCGAGGCCCGGACAGAAGACGAGGGCCGTCAGGTCTCTCGAAAGGCAGTGAGCACTCTATTTTCTTACTCACTCATATTTTTTTGTCTCTATTTTACTCTCTTCCATCAACCAACTGTTTCCCTGAAGCTGACGAAACGCAGTTCTACAATGCTGTACTTTTTATGGGCTCCGTCGCCATCTTCAGTCTTCTAGCTCAGAAGCTCAATGCAGGCAAATAATGAATCGGCGGGTGCGATTTCACTTCCCGTAGCACACGAGAGAGGGCGCTTTTTTCCCATCATATCCAGTCAGAGTCGATGATACTCATGAAATAAACTGCTATTCTTCGTCGCCCTCGTCTCCAGCTCCATCAGCCTCTTGATTCACTACCGCCTTGGCCTCTTGCTTCCGCCACAAACCTGCCAGAAACTCGTTCGTGCTGGCCTCCTCGATACTCTTGTCCTCTCTCTTCTTCATGAATCGCGGAAATCGCAAACTGAGACCTCTCTCACCACTGACCAGTCCAATCGCCGCCGTATACGTTGGGCTGAGTGTGATGTCGGCAAAGGCCATCTCCCACACCTCCTGCGGCTCAAACCACACATCGGGTTCCGGGCCAGAATAGTCAACAAAGCTGGGTTTTTGTGTCCGAATGTTTCGTGACTTCCCCCCTGCTTGATCTCCATCTTCATCTTCACCTTCGTCTTGCTCGTCATTGTTGTTGTCGTTTCCTTCAGAGGCCATATTATAAAACGCCCGGTTGGCCTTGTAAAAGGCGTCGGTAAATCCAGACATGCACTTGCACACTGCTTCTAGCGACCCCGTCTCCTCGTTCCGCACGGCCATGAGGATCGGTGACCACCATTTGGCCTTCCGTCCGTTGCCGTGCCACGCGGCAATGGGAATCATGTCTAGCGTGTCGAAACTTGAGTGGTAGTCCTTCTTGACCTTGAGCCAGGCATCGACACGCTTGTCGGGTTCGTACGTGGCCAGAAGAGCTTTTCTGCGCGATTTTTTCTCTCCGGGGGCCTTTCCATGGATGGTTGGTTCTCTTTTCTTTTCTTTCTCTTTTTCTCCTTCTTCTCTTTCCTCCTTCCCTTTTATAAAAACACCTTGATCATCTGGAGCGGACGTCAAGTTATCCAGAATCTTAACCATGATACCCTCGCATTTAGCATCAGTAGCCGACTTGAAAAACTCCAGCACAGCCTCGGAATCCCCCGAGGTCGCATCCATGCTCTTAACCCACGTGAAATGGTGTGGTATCTCGATGAACAACGACCGGAGAAGCTCTCTTCTCTCTCGAAAGGGGCGGTCCAGCAGTGGCTGGCCATTCAAGAACATGAGATCAAACGAAAAAAGGCACACGTCCACCGCAATGCTGTCGATTGCAACATCCTTCCTGGCACGGTTAGACAGGGTCTGAAAGTTTCTCAGCTCTCCCGTGTCCCGGTCTACGGCGACGACCTCTCCCTCCATGATAAAGCTGTCGACGCCGTCGCCTCTGATCCGGGGGACCAGCTCCACCAGGTCAGGGTACTTGTCCGTCATGAGCTCAAGGTGCCGTGAGAATATCGACACCTTCCCGTCGATGTCGCAGTGGATCTGTGCCCTCTGTCCGTCGTACTTGTACTCGCACGCAAAATCCCGACCCTGCAGTTTCGTGAGCATCTCAGCCAGGTCCCTCGTTATGCTGCCCAGCATAGGCCGCAGTGGGACATGCAACGTCAGGTCACACCGGAGCAGGAGCTCGTCAGTGACGCCAATCTCAAGAAGCACCGGGACCAGGTCGTTGTAGTTGGGCCGTCGGGCGAAACAGGCCTTAACGATTTCCTCGGACCTGGCCCATATCTCGGCCAACTCCTCCTTCTTCAGTCTAGACAGGTCGGAACAAGAACGCAGGACGGAACCAGACCCGGGGGGTCGTGATAGCAGAAAAGCCCTCGACAAGGCAATCAGCATAGTTGTCTTGACGGCACCGATACGAAGCTGCATAGGTTGTTAGCAATTGCTCGTACACTCTAAGGAACGGGTACCTGTCGGGCGGCTCACATGCTGACAAAGAGTCCGGACAATGAAGCGACTCTCCTCTCCTCCCCTCGCATCCTGCAACAGCCTGTCCACGAGCCGCTGCTTAACCTCGGCACTGCGCTGGCCCTGGCTGTTGGCGATCTTGACAAGGCTCGCGTACACGCCCTTGATGGTGAGGGGCTTCGGTCTTCTCAGCGTGAAGCTCTGCTTCTTCTTGGCTTCAAATGCCACGTCTCCAGCATCACCGTACTTGCCGTAGATAGCCTTGAGGGACCTGTTGTCCAGGCCACAGACTTGCTTCAGGGCTTTAGAGATGGCAGAGCCTCCCAAACCCAGCTCAAGGGAGATGTAGGGCGGGGATATTGAATTTGTCGCCAGCCATACCTGTATACGTGTCAGGTGGTACCACGGAAGCGTAGGAATAGATATAGGAGAGGAAAGCTCACAGCTGGAAGCAAACTCGATGGGTCACCCTCAATCAGAAGTCTTAGACAATTGACAAGGGTATCTACGATCTTGATGCGGCTGGTCGTCCTGCTTACAAGCATGAAGCAACTTGTCAGAAGCGAATATGTCGCGTCTCCCCCCTCAGAAGCCCAGAGCTCTTGCAGCTGCGACAAATAATCTGAGGGGACAAACGTCAGAGGTGATTGGTCCAAGGGGACGGTCGAGGTTACGAAATCCTCTGACATGCCAGCTGACTGCAGGGTCAGGGTCTTTTTGGGGCTCTCAGGCATTGCCACGATATCCGGTGCTGTAGATGGCGATTCTACATTTGCATCCTGATAAATGAATTCTTGAGAGTATTTTGACGGAGACCCTTGTGACGGAGTAGATACTCTGCTCTGTTGTCCGCCTTCACTCTTTTCTTGTATGTGTTTGCTTCCCGAGCTCCCAGAGTCTTGGTTGTTCCACTCATCCTGAAGTTTCCGAGCCAGCTCCTCATCTGTCAACTCCGAGTCATCTCGGGTATCTGTCCGGGTAGACGACACCTGTTTCTGTCTGTTGAAGAAGTATTCGAGACCCTTGGCAGGAGGAGCAGACGACTTGGAGCCATTGTCGAGCTTTCTCTTCTTGGACGGACTGGGCATGGTGGATTATGCCAACGCCATTGTATACGGAGTGTCCGGGTAGTGTATATGCCGATGATGATGAGCTTCAAGAAAGGACTATATCAGTTCATGAAGTATTCATCTTGTATAAAGTAAGCATTAAATTGAAGTCCAAGACGATGATGTTATCATATGACAGGTTGAGCTTTGGAGCTATGACATCCGCAAATGCACGTGACCCACTTAGCAAAATACGTGGGGAGCCTTCCCTGTACCCCGTACCCGGGAGCGGATCGGAAAATACCAAGCTCCGGCACACACACAGCCCCTCGCCCACAATCGCACAACGACAAGTCGAAATCTTTGTCGTGCCCCACCATCGCGAACCTCCCTCCCCCCTCTACATCTTCCCCCCCCCATCTACCGAAAATCACCCTCCAAACCACACCGACAAGATGAACGGCGAAGACCCGCCCGAGCGGCCCGAATACGTGTCCAACATCATCAACGGCCTCGAGCGCTACAACCCCGAAGCTGTCGGGTCTCTCGAGACGTACCTCCAGGAGCAATGTGAGCAGAAGTACTGCGACTCCAACGCCAACAGGACACTTCTCAAGCTGTACGTGCAAGACATATTTCCTTTATTTTTGCTTCCTTTGGGTAGAGGGACCCATTTCTAAACGAAGGAAGTGGTATTCCTTTCTTCTTTGTTTTCCGTGATGACTAGATGTCAACGTTTCCTATTACCTGACCAAGAACAATCATTATACCAAAATGAAGTCAGCTATTATATCTATTCTGACTACGCCACCTACCTATCTCTCGCCATCATTCCTGGCTCTTCGCATTCTACAACATGGTTTTTTTTGCTAACACATCTCCGATATGCCGCAAAACAACAGGTACCAGCTCAACCCCGACCGCCTCAAGGATGAGGTGGTGACCAACATCCTGGTCAAGTCCATGACTCAGTTCCCGTCGGCCCAGTTCCCCCTGGCACTACACCTGATCAACCCGTCGGCGGCCAACAGCGGTGAGCTGAACGAGGCGCTCACCAAGCTGCGCACGCTTAACTCACAGCTCGAGGGCGCGCAGTACGCTCAATTCTGGGAGACGCTGGACGGCGATGACCTGTGCGCCGACCTCATCGCCGATATTGTCGGCTTCGAGGACGTGATCCGCCACCGCATCGCCCTCCTGGTGTCCCAGGCCTTCCGGGAGATCAAGCTCAGCCACCTCGAGGTGTGGCTCGGCCTCAGCTCCGAAGCTGCCACCAAGTTCATCACCGACGTGGCCGGCTGGTCCATCGACGCCGCCGACGGCACTGTCAAGATCCCCTCCAACCCGGAGAACGAGGCCAAGAAGACGGAGATCCGCGAGGACGTCAGCCTCGACCAGTTTGCCAGGATCATTCGTCGGTCGTGGGAGGATGTCGTCTCGGCATGATTTTGGACGAAACAAAAAAAAGGGAATGGAATGATGCATGGGAATATGACGGCGGGTCCTTTTTTATTGAAAAAGAAATTAAAGAACAACAAAGGCGTTCACAGGGCATATCTTATTGAGAGCGATATCAAAGAAAAGAAGAGAGAGAAAAAAGATATACGTCAATGATACAAAAAACATTCATAAATCATGGGGGGAAAAATGTACTTGATGCCTATTCTTTTCGCTCCCAGTTCCATAGTATCTTGGTATCTGCATTTGTATACTACGTACTGACGTTATGTTTCTACTTTCTATCGACAAGTTCCTCCCACTGCACACCAGCCCACTCCTCGAGGTAACCGGTCTGGCCCAGCCCGACGCCGTTGGGCCTGCAGTCACGCTCGCACACGGCGACGATGATAGTGCCCCACTCCATTCCCTCTAGGCTGAGGTCATCCTCCTCCAGCTCTGTGATGGCATGGGGCGTCATCTGGACTTCAAAGGCCCTCCTGCCGCCGCAGTTGGCGCAGCCGGGGACGCCGACGGCAGGACCCTTGGCCAGCCTGGCGGCCACGTCGTCGTTCTTGGAATACAGAAGCGGGGTGCCGCCGAACTCGTAGCGGATGACCTGGTCAGGGTTCTGGGACAGGCGGTCGGCGAACTTCTGAAAGGCCGCGTCCATGGTGGACTCGAAGGCCTCGCGGTCCAGGATGGACGGCTCCTCGGCGTCGGCGCCCTCGACGCGCGCGTTCGCCGGCAGGCCCTTGGACGACTGGGGCGTCGGGTCCAGCGTCTCGTACTCAGCGTCGCAGAGGTATAGCATCGGGTAAGGGGACGGCAGTTCATCCTGCGATGGCCACGGCTCCGGCGGGGGAAGCGCTGTCGATGTTGACCCTGTCGTGCTGTTGAGCGAGAGCGTCTCGGCGAATGTCCTGGTCAGCGTCTCCTTGGACGCCTCTTCCGCCTTCGGTCTGGGCTTCTCTTTCTCTTCCGACTGCTGCTTCTTTTCCGTACTGAACGGGTTGGATGCTGCTCCTCCAGATGAGAAGGGGTTCCCATCGCCGCCGCCGCCACCAGTAGAGAACGGGTTGCCACCTGCTGCCCCGAAGCTGCCTGTCGAGCCGCCAAACAGCGCAGTGCCTAGTCCTGGTCCCTTATTCTTCTTGTCTTCTTCTTTCCGTTGCTCTTCTTGCTTCTTCTTCTCTTCGTCCTCTTGTTGAAGCTCCCGCCTGGTGTCCTCTACCTCCTTCCATACTCTTACACCACGTATTGCGCGAATGCTCCCGTCGCGTCTACGACAGCTGGATCGACGGCACCCGAAGACGTATATGCGTCGATCGTGTCCGGGGAAGCGCTCTGGTAGTTCCCCGTTTATCTGAAGGAGGAGGACCATCATGTCGTTGCAGACTTTACAGCGTGCCAGGGCTGCAGAGGGGGTGGTGTCGTCTAGCCATTCCTGTGGGAGGGGGGAGTCAGAATACCCGAAAAGGTTCGTCTTGGTATGAATGGGATCGGAGGATGGAAAGAGCTTACTGGTGTTCCTCCCAGACGACTGATCACGTCTTCCCCTTCCTCTGCTTCCTTGGAAGCATAACCCAAGAGAACATTTGTTTCTTGAAACTCGCCCTCTGACGAGTCTGAATCATACGAAGTCATTTTCTTCTTCTCGTTCTTCTTCTTCTCTTCTCTCTATATGATTTGATCCATTCAAGTAAATAAATGAATACAGGATAAAGGGAAGAAAGGAGAAAAAAAGAGAGAAGCAAAGGAAAAAAAAGCAATCAACAAGCCGAGGAGGGGCAACTCTGGTGATGGCCGGTGGTGCCTGTATTGGAAGAAAAAAAAAACCTGACCCCACCATCTTTCCTTCCCACCAAAAATTGAACAGCGATGCGGGGCTGAGCGATAAGATAAAAAACCACCACCACACATCACCACAACCACCACAGCCACATAGATCCTCATGACCACACAGCTTATCATGAGATATCACCAAGACCAAGGGATGCTTGGATTCACAGATTAGAGCCTATTAATGCATATGTGTTTGTTTTTTCGGTTTTTTGTCTAACCCATCTCCATCAATGTGACCTTTCTTTCTTTTTTCCTTTGTTTTCTTTCTTTACATGTGCTCCTCCGGACCATCCATACCAGGCCCGGGGCCCCCTGACCTACCCATCTGGCGAGCCTTGAGCAGCTCGTCGCACAAGAGCAGGTTGGAGGCGATGCCCGAGCTCGAGGCGATCGAGTTCCTCAGGACGCGGAAAGAGTCGTAGACACCCTCCAGTTCCGGGTCCATGGGCTCTCCAGTCTCCAGGCTGAGACCGACGACGTCGCCTTCGGCGTGCTCATCCTGCAGAGCGGCCACTGACGATGTGTGTCAGTATTGTAGATCTCCGGGATGGCATAGCGAGAATGTATGCATAGGAATAAACGGGGG